GGAATCGGATGTATATTTCGCGTCTTATGACCTTCATGGATATTTAAAATTTTTACCCCTTGTGGGGGAGGCACCAGAAGGAGTTGACCAACATATCCCATCTTCACAGCAGATCTTGTTTTAGTAGAAATAATGGAATGTGTGAAATATGAAGAAAATCGGATGTTTATTTCGGATTTCATAATCGTTTTGGTTATTCAAAACTTTGACCCCATGTATGGGAGGTACCAAAAGGAATGTTCCGATCTTTATATTCTTTATAACAGCTCTTGTGTTGATAGAAGTATTGAGATGTGCCAAGTGTGAATCATATGTTAATTTTGGGTTTAAAGAGCTCTAAGGATATTAAAACTGTTGACCCTTTGTGGGGGAGATACCAGAAGGTGTGGACCAATATATTCCATATTCACACTAGACCTTGGGATAACAAAAATGTGATGTGTGTAATTTGGAGGAGTTATAAAATTCAGGAGTGAACTGATATTGTCCATATTGTACCAAGTTTGGACCAAATAGGATACTCCCTTGGAGAGTTATCGTGCCCACCACCCAGCCAGTCAGACGGACGGACGAACATCGCTAGATCGACTCCAAATGCCCTGAAACGGATTTGGTACAAAGATATCTAGTGTCGAAAACCGTTATTTTTTATACCCTCTCCATTAATATTACTGTGGGTATAAAAAATATATTTTTATCCAATATATTATATGATCTAAGCTAAAATATATATTATATCATCCAAGCTACTTCAAGGTACTACAAGAATCATGGGTGTTTATTTCCTCAAATATATATTTAAATGACGATTAAAGTCAGAGTCCTCGTCTTGAGAGAAACATTTTTAAGATATGACGATTAGAGATATGACGTGATCTTATAGGGAATATTTTTAATTCGATTTCTAGGAATATGAGCTTCAGACGGGAAATCTTTGTAATTATTTTTCTAGTACTACGTGCCAGTACTAACAAGCTCCTTTCCAAGTTTTCGTAAGAATTTTTTAAAGGACTATTTGGGGATTTAAATAAATAGTTGCAGTAGGTCGTTTGAGCTATAAACTATAGATTGCTTTCCTAGAACAAATTTTTGTGTAAAATTATTTTACTCATAAAAACTCGTGGGTTTCTAAAAATGTGTAATATTTGAAAAGAACTATATAAGCTCCAAGTTTTGAATTAAATGAATATTTTTTACAGAAAGATTGAAGATATAATCGTGGTCTCATTGGGAATATTTTCAGAGTTCTATATGAAGTTATATCGTGGATTATTTGAAATTCGTTGTCGGAAAACGTGGGATTTGATATTATTTTTCTAGGGCTCCATCCATCATTACAATCCTTCATAAACTCCACGATCCCAGAAAGAATAAAGAAAGAAAAATCCCACGATTAGAGAAGATTAATCGTGGATTTAAAAAATGCTTTTAAAAATAAAATCGCGGTCTCATATCGAGCTTTGTAAACATCAATAGATTAGTTTTCAAGGACTACATGACCATTCGTTATTCTCAATTCGTTTTTTTAAAGTTCAATATATTTATGGATTTTAAAGAAGTATTTGTAAATGTTAGACTTAAGTAAAATAAAGTTTCAAAATACAGGAATTTTTGAGGTTACCATAATGGTGGACTTCATACTCGATAACTTTAAAAACAATTTTTAAATGACTGTAATTTTGGACTCTTAAAAATTATTCTTTCTGGGATCGTGGAGTTTTTGAAGGATTGTAATAATGGACTTCTTAATATAAGTCACTAATGCACCATGTGCGTGTTTCGGTAGGAAAACCTTGCAAAGCTTTAGACATTTATGAAGCAAAAAAGTGTAAAAACTAAAAATCTAACCGATTTTCAGATGCTATAAACTGAGCATATTTAAAATGTAATATTTAAAAAATTAACAATATCTGAAAAGTGCCGAAAAAAAACTATTATAGTATATTTTTGGAATGAATTTAAAATCAAACTTGCATCAAAACTTAAATATCGACTTTTAAGAAGATATGAATATATATGATATCTATTCGATTTATTTGAAATAACAATCCAATTAACGCGTTTAATTGAAACTTGTGCATTATAAATAGAGCTTGAGAGGTTCATTCTGAAAGTGGCGAATTAAAATGAAAGATACATTGGAAGACCAGTATCTCGCGGTTTATTTATGTTACTTCGAATCGTTTTAATCAAACCTGCATATTTGCAGCTAAATTGCGATTTTTAACATATTGTTCATTTGGTAATATTTATATTTCATTGAGAAGGAAATGATATCATATTTCAAACAATTTTAAAATTTTTTAAATCGGGTGGGTTGAAATATGAAAAAATACCATAAAATAAAAAAATCGTTCTTTCGGGCTTTACACTACTTAGAAGGTCATTTGGAAAATGCCTAGATCTAAGGAAATCAGCAAAACTTTATATAAGAAAGACCGTGTTTTTTTGTGGTTTTAAAATTTTGTATTGGAAATTAAAAGACATAAGAACCACTATACCGAATTTATTATTTAACAAGTAAAAAAGCTGTAAGTTCGGCCGGTCCGAACTTTGAATACCCTCCACCTTTTGGAACGAATTTGGCAATTTTCAAAAACAAAAAAATCCGTTAAAAATTCTGTTAAAATCTTAAAAATACCGAATGTAGCTATTATATTAGGGTCTATACGACGACATGAACCTGCGTAGGTAACATTTGTCATAAGCCATTACAATATTCAAATGCAAAACTTAAAAAAAATCGGTTATAATGTCGATAAAGTCAAAATACCGAATATCGGTAGGTACCGTTATATGGGGGCTATACGAAGACGTGGACCTGTACAGACAATTTTCTGTCGTATGCTGTAGTATCCATTAATATCAAATTTGAAACAATTCTGGTGAAAAATGTCCCTACAATCATTTAAATACCGAATATCGGCAGGTACCGTTTTATGGGGGCTATATGAAGACGTGGATCTGTACAGACAATTTTCTGTCGTAGGCTGTAGTATCCATTACGAACTTCAAATATCAAACTTGAAACAATTCTGGTGAACAATGTCCCTAAAATCATCAAAATACCGAATATCGGGAGGTACAGTTATATAGGGGCTCTACGAAGACGTGGACCTGCACAGACAATTTTCTGTCATAGGCTGTAGTATCCATTGCGAACTTCATATAACAAATTTGAAACTATTCCAGTGAAAAAATCATCAAAATAGCGAATATCAGGAGGTACCGTTATATGGTGGCCATACCAAAACGTGTACATACACGACCCATTTTCAATACCAAAAGTCCTGCAGACATAACATACATTTGAGCAAAATTTTATCAATCTACTTCAATTTGTTCGGAAGCTAGAGTGATTTCCACAGACGGACGGACATCGCTAAATCGACATAGAATTCAAGAATATACTTTGTGGAGTCTAGAATGTGTATTTCTAGGTGTTACAAACGGAAAAATAACTCAAATATCCTCCATACTATGGCGGAGGTTATAAAAAATGGGGATTTTTAAAAGTTATTTTTTTCAATTGCTAAACAAATGGCATTGGTTGAAATTTAAACAACAATAGGCATAAAAAAACTAAAAAGTATAATTTTCCATGAACGTGGATTTTCTAGAGATTACAAAAGTGAACGTGGTTTTTTTAATGATTTTTTCCAAGGGGCAATAAACGGTACCGGTAGTTTTTACTATTTAACAGAAATTTAGATAAACTTTTGAAAATTGCTTTAACAAATGAAATCAGTCAACAAATAAATTAGTTACGCCATATTTATTTATTTTTTTTTTTAATATTGGAACGGAGGGACGAATGATTTACATATACATAATCTAAGAGTTGATTAATCATTCGCACACCTGTACTAATGTCGCAAAAAAATTAATTGTGATTTTTTAAAGACTTTTTTCAAAGTATTATTATATAGTCTATATATTGGATTGTTTTAGAACTTTGCAGTTCCATGCCAATATTTCCACAATAAAAACAATTCAATATTCTGCCTTGAAATGTTATCAAAGTTTCACTTATTTTCTTTTTCCCACAACATTAGTGAACAAAAAAAAAAAGGGAATTAATGATTCTTATCAACTTTACATATTAATTTAATCAATACAAAAGTGTCCGATTTATTAATAGCACATGACCATTGGTGCGGAAATAATCGAAAAAACGAAAGGAAGAAAGAACAATTAATGTAATAGACGAAATAATAATTTCACAAAACACAAACACGATTCAGACACACACTCGCTTGGAACTGCCCTTTAATAATTGTCCATAATTTATGCCTACACATGTGTTTCTGTTGTTGTTGGGTAACACCTTGTTTACACAAAACTGACTTCTTTATTTATGACTTCTTCTGTGTATGACGAATTGTTTAATTGCTTCTTTAGTGTTTTTGATTTGTTTCATCTTTTCGATGAATGAAATGGAAAACTTTTTCCATTTCAAGGCAAATGTTGGGGACGTCATGAATTCTTACCCAGCGGCTTTGATTAATGAATGGGCAGATGGCAGACAAAACAAAACAAAACGACACAGGTGGTCCGTATAAGTAATTAAACAATTGTTGCACTATTCTGACACTGACAATTCAATTTCAAACTTTTAGTTATGATTGACATTCATTGAGCAAAAAAATTGCAAAAAAAAAAAAAAACACCAAACACACAATTGCCCGTAAAAATAACCTGCAATGCAAATAAAATTGAATTTAAGGTTTGTTGCTCTCCGAACGAGAAGTTGCAACACTGACCGCATACGTATGGCTGATAGAAGGTACAACAACATATCTGATAATTAAATTTCGCACTGAAATCAAATCCAATTAACGCGCAGGTTTAAATTGCTTCGCTAGACACACACAGTGTTCGCACAAGCCAATTGCATTGGAGGACTTGTTGCACTGCTCACTGACACGGTTTTTGTTTACAAACTAAATCACACACACATACACAGACACGAACACTAACACACTTGTTGTGACACTTACACTTATTTTGTTTGTGTGGTAAACTCTTGTGCTGTGCTCCACTTGGTGAAGAAGGAACGATGTGAATTAACCTGTTGATTGACTGTAAATGATTTCCATGAGTTTCGGCATCATTTATTTATACTGTTACTGCTCCACGATGATGGTGCCACACGCACAGACACACACACACACAGAGAGCAACAACTCGTACACACATTAGACTCCTTCGCCACTTAAACGAAGTGTTATAAAGCGTATACCCGATATGGCATACGATTTGTAAACTTGGGCACACACACACAGGCACTCAACTACAGCTGTGGGTGTTCAAGAAGACGAGGAAGCCAATGAAACGAACCAGTTAAACGATTGTTAAACGAACAATTTTACGATATTGGCAAGGCGGTAAACGGAAGGAGCCCTCTCGCACACACTCACACACACACACACTCACCCACTTACGCACAGAGTAGTCATGCAAATGTTGCTGCTGCTCTTCACACACACACACATGTGCGCAGGAAGTTAACATTGAAGTTAAACAATGTTGCCTACCTAACATATTGAGTTTTAGCTGTATTACAATTTGTTTTTGTTGCCGTTTTCTTGTTGTGTGATGGTGTATTTGTGTGTATGCGTGTGGCTCGTGCATCAACATAATAGGAAGAACTAAACACATCTTGACATCTTTCAATTTCTTATTATAATCTTTGTGTGAGTATGTGTGCATATGCATGTATGTGCGTGCATTTGTGCGCTTTGCAAAATAGCCAGTTTAGTTGTATTAGTGTTAGATTGTAAAAGAAATGAGGGGGAATACTAACATATTCTGCCTTTTGTTCAAAATGACATTTTCATTGTTATAACTGAACATTGAACATATTTATTAATTTGTTGTGGTATTCGCAACGAAAAAGGGGGAAAGAAAAACTTACAAAATACAATAAAACCCGTTGACTTCGTTTTTTTTTTCTCAAATTACATTCAATCCTCTCCGAGCGGTTAGTAAATAAAACCATATGGAACGATATAATTTTTTTTTTTAATTTTTATTTCTAAGGGATAACATTGAAATGTAAACTTTAACTAGAGTAAAATTAAATTTAAACAATTTTTAAGGCTTGAAGTTTCTAAAAATATTGACTTATTTAGAAAATCAACTTTTTACATTTGCAGGATGGTGAAAATAATTAGGAAAACTTAAAACTATAATACAATATTTAAAGTCAATAGGATATTAATCATATATATCGGGTACATAATTTTTGGTATGGTAAAAGTTTTGAGAAATAATTTTTAAAAGAAAATAAAAAAACAAGTAAAAACACATTAATTTCGGCCTGGCCGAACTTTTAATACCCTCCACCTTAGGGTAAAGAAAACATTAGAACCCATTATGACCCAAAATACCGAATATCGGGAAATACCGTTATAAGGGGGCTATACCAAAACGTAAGCCTAAACATATAATGCTTCTCCACATGGACTAGGGCCCATTATGACAAACACATACCAATTTTCAGACAAATTTGTGAAAAAGTGTGGCAAAAATCATCAAAATATCGAATATCGGGAGGTACCGTTATATGGGGACTATACCAAAGCGTGAACCTATATATAATGTTTCGCCACACGAACTAGGACCTATTATGACCTACAAATACCAATTCGCATAAAAATTCGTGAAAAAAATGTGGCAAAAATTATCAAAATAACGAATATCTGGAGGTACCGCTATATGGGGGCTATACCAAAACGTGGACATATACATGCAATGTTTCGCCACCGGAGATAGAACCCATTATGACCAACAAATACAAATTTTAGAAAAATCAATGAAAAATGTGACAAAAACCATCAAAATACCGAATATTGGGAGATACCGTTATATGGGGCTATACCAAAGCGTGAACCTATACATACAATGTTTCGCCAAACGAACTAGGACCCATTATGACCTACAAATGCCAATTCTCGGACAAAAATATAAAAACTAATTTTCAGATAAATCCGTGAGATAAATCAATACCAACCATCATTCTAGACACAATACAAATTATTCTGCTAAATTTTGACGCTCTACGTCAAATAATGTGGCCTGTATCGTGATTTCCACAGACAGACAGAAGGACATCGTTAAATCGACTTAGAATTTTATGCTGATTATGAATATATATACTTTATGGGGTCTAAGACAAATATTTAGGGATGTTACAAACGGAATGACAAAGTTAATATACCCTCCTTTCCAAGGTGGAGGGTATAACAAGTAAGCAAAGGCTATAGCCGTGCCGGGCCGACCATGTGACACCCTACAACATTACAATATGTTAGAAGCCCCTTTATGTCCAAATCCATTTTGGAAGATTTCGCTTTTGAAATTATGTTACGGATCACTGCCCAGATATTACGCTTAGCATTTTGACCAGGGACTTTTTCCCAATATTTATGCACTTCGTCGTGCTGTTAGTTTTTGTGGTCCATTTTACGGCTAAATATAATCCAATGCTAGTATTCTTCCCTGTCCTTAACTCTCTTTACAGGCCTGTCGATTTGCTTCAACTGTGTGATCGGACAAACATTTCTGTTTTTGGTAAATTTGAACCCCTAAATATTTTGCAATCATCTCCAAAAGCAAGAAGCCTCTCTGTATCTCCAAAGTTAGACTCATCTATATGATTTGCTTGTCTACGATATTTGGATAAATTCGTCAACGAAATCAACATAAAAAAGCCAGAAGTTCGCCTTTTGTGTATTTCGGATATCGCCTGTAAGTAATGCTGGTATTTTTTTCACACAAAGTTAGTGGTACATTGTACCCGCTGTCCTAATCTCTAACTTTATGCGAGATTTCGTGTCCTTTGGTTTCTGTTTGGTACCTTTATAACGGCTGCAAAATCAGGAACATTTTTAGCGGTTGGTCCATTTTAACCCCCTAATATATTGCGGACCTATAAATATTGCGGAATAGACCTAGCCCTTCTGAGCCCAACCCTACCCTGTGGGAAATTTTCGTGAGGATCGGACGATAATTGCAATCTGTATATAATATCCCCAACCTGTGTTGTAAGGTGAAAAAATATTACAAAATATTTAAAAAAATCGCATGCGATAAAATATATAAAAAAATAAACAAATTTCACAAAATACTACAAAATCTATATTAACATCATTATTGGCATATTTTTCTACGATTTTTTTTTTTAGATTTTATACTTTTATGTCAAGAGGGCATTCTGAATTGACAAAATTTGTCAAAATCGTCCCAGCCATTCCTTTGTATATATACATTGTATATATTTCGCTGTACATAACCGATAATTTACTATCGGCATCTACGTAACGGTCGGAATTGACCTGTTCGTCTATTTGTGATTTCGCAGGGATTAAAAATATTCGCGGTTTAATGGAAAATTCGACTTTTATTTTACACAAATGTTGTGGCCTATTTCACCCACTAAATATTACCCGATGACCATCAAAATTGGCTTCTGCCCAGCCCTAAGCTCTTGCCCCATGATAACTTCTTTGATTGGTCTATAATTGCGACCTGTAGAACAACTGCAAATATAAATATTTTGCGATCATCATCTACAAAGCAAGAGGCTTCTATTCTGGCCCTAGCCCCATCTACATTCTAAATTTCGTGAAGATCGGGTCATAATTGCGACCTGTAGAGTGATTACAAATTAACATGGACAGAGGGACAGACGCACGGATGGACATACATAGCTAGATCGAGTCAGCTCGACGAGATAGGATGATCCATATATACTTTCCTAAGTGGGAAATCAATATTTCGTGGTGTTACATAATTTTTGGCCCAATCAAACGTCTAATACCCCAATCACATAGTGTTGTTGGGTATAAACATCCTAAATTTAGTTCATGTACACGAAGAGTTTGTCCTTCGTATTTATTAATTGTCATCTGAAATGCCAAATATACAGAAACTGCAATCTTTTAAAGTTGAAACGCATTTTTTGCTATTAGTGGGATTCGAGGTAGCAAAACATATGAACCTGCACACCTATCCACAATAATCGTAGTCTCAATTATATGTTTGTGTTATTTTTTACTGTTTGAACTTCAGTACATTTCAAATTTTATTGAAATTGGAAATACATAGCATGTTTGATGCATCAAATTCCTAAAATCGGATAAAAATTTGTATAGGAGCTATGCCCAAATCTGAACCGATTTCAATATAATTTTGCAATTTTCGGAAATTGGAGATATATAGCGTGTTTGGCGAATCAAACACATGAAATCGGCAGAAAAAAATTATGGGAGCTATATCCAAGTCCTAACCGATTTCAATTTAATTTTGCAAATTAATTTTCTGATCAAATCCCGTCACTCATTCCAAATTTCATCCAAATTTGAACCGATTTCAATATAATCTGCAAACTTATTTTGTACCAAATTTCGTCACTCATTCCAAATTTCATTGGAATCGGACAAAAATATAGTGTTTGGTGCAACAAATATATGAGATTGGCCGAAAATATATAAGAGATCTATATCAATATCAGAACCGATTTCAATATTATTTGGAAAATTTATTTTGTACCAAATTCCGTCACACATTTGGAATTTCATTGGAATCGGACGAAAATACAGTGTTTGGCGCATCAAATATATGAGATTGGCCGAAAATATATATGGGAGCTATATTAAAATCTGAACCGATTTCAATATAATTTGGCAAACTCGTTTTGTACCAAATTTCGTCACTCATTTCAAATTTCATTGGAATCGGACAAAAATACAGTGTTTGCGGCATCAAATATGTGAGATTTGCCGAAAAAATATATGGGAGCTTTATTAAAATCTGAACCGGTTTCATTATAATTTGGCCAATTTGTTTTTGTACCGATTTCCGTAATATATTCTAAATTTGGAGACTGTATCTATAACCGATCAATATATATGTGCATTCAAAAACAAAACTTTTTGGAGGTACCTCCGATTCTGGTGCTATATCTCCAGTTCCAAGCAGCATTTTAAAAATGTATATAGCCTATGTTACTTTCAGGCGATGCTGTATTATGTCTGGAATTTTTCAGGAAAATCTGTTTAGCAGTTATTGAGTCTATAAATTAC